ACAGCCATCACCAGCCTCTCAAAACCATCACTTGGCATCCCCCAGAGGTATAGGAGAAAGCCAAAACAGCTCTCAACAAACAAAAGCTAAGGACGATGGAAAGAGAGCATGTCAAAAAGAAGACGAACAGTATGAAGTTCAAATGGGTTTGAACACTCGTTCCACCAACTATACCACTTTCAATAAATCGTGACGCCATTTTGTTTTAACACGCATACGGTCCATTAAATTATTTGTAATTTATATTTCTTTTTTCTTTTGTTCTTTTGTTCTTTTTCTTTTTTCTTGTCTTTTTTCAACTTCTGCCCATGGCGTCCTTCTCTCAGCTCGTCAGCTGTAACAGTCATAGTCATCACCATGACGACTGTTGTGAGAAGGTGCTCGCTGCCGACGAGGTTGGTGATGTCCCGACGAGGCCATGGGCAGGCCTTCACCACGTCGGAACACCCCGTCTGCACGTTGGTGTTGTGGTCTGGGTGTTGATGGACGTTGATGTTGTTGTAATAGTTGTTGTCGTTGTAATTGTCGTTGATTGTTGTTGTTGTTGTTGTTGTTGTTGTTGTTGTTGTTGTTGTTCTCCTTAGTGTTGTTCTCGTTGTTGCTGTTGGTCTTGGTAATACTAATAGTCTTGTTCACGGACCTCATGAATTCCACAAATAAAACAGAGTTATATTTCTTGAATCAGCTTCAGGGTTACTTTTCCTTCAATTATGAATGATTTGTGGAATGTTGCAATTGGTAACATGGAAACATAAGTTCAGTGCAGCTTCCAGTATGTTGTTCAGGTGAGGTACACCGGTTTTTTGGGATCAAATGTCGGAAGTCAGCATTGCTTACCTCGGCTGTTGCGCTGGACCGTCTTGGGTTCACTCGTAGTTAATTAATTGTGCGTCCCCCCAGGGGGTTTGGGCTCTCCGGTATTAATCCTTTGTTGAACGAGAAATTGTTTACTAATTAATTATTGATGAAGGGGTTATAGTTAGTGTTGTATCACGTTCTTCGTGGCGTGGGCTGAGTCTTCTGTCAGGTGGACGGAGCTATAAAACACACAGACAGGACGGCGGTTATTGGTGTATCGAAGGAGAAGAGAAGTCTCACTGGCGGGTCTCTGAGAGAGACACACGTGTTGACTTTGGACTTACCGGGAGATCTCTCCAGGTTGTCCGAGGAGCTGGTAAGATGGTCGTCGACGTCGAAGGTGAACGTAGGCTGAGGAAGATATGTGGAGTGTAGTCGGACACGACGTGATGGCTTCTTGTTGTCTTCGCGAGTTGTGTTCTGGAGACGTCGATCAGGATCTTGCGTGGTGTCGTAGGTCGTGCGCGGGGATCGCGCGTAGATCTGCGTGCGGTGATGCTGGCGCGCGTGGTGCTCCGGGGCGTTTGTCGTCCTCGTCGTTCCGACAATGGTGAGTCGTACTTGCGGACTTGCTTCTTTCGCGATTGTGCGTTGCATCTCCGCCGTTGGGGTCAGTATTTGACCCGGGCGTTGTCCATACCGCTTGTTCTGGATATGTTGTGCGGTCTCCGTTGATCTGCACTGGGTTTGTGGTGGTCAGGTCCGAGTACGAATCTACCACGTGAACCGTGTGTGGTGGATGTAGGTAATCAAGCACGCTCAGGAGGTCATGATGGCTGAATCTTGCCCGAGCCTGCAGCCCAAGGGCCGTAGGCCCGAGGGCTGCAGGCAAGGGCAAGATTCAGCCATCATGACAGACAGAGCGTGCTTGATTTGATTTCTTACAGCGCGAAGGAACATATTAGGGAAGGTCAAAGGTGGAAAGGTCGAAAGATCGAAAAATTATTCCCGAAATGACGTCAAACGGTCCGAACATTCCCGAAATGACGTCAAACGGTCCTGATGGCCTGATTATGCCCGCGGCGGGAAGATCGCCTATTGGCCATGGCCCCGGCAACGATCACGTGTCATGTAAGAATAATTATTTTATTTTGGTGGAGATCGAAAATGATCTCCCATCCGAGGAAAACGGCTCGATCCGGCCGGCGGTCGAGTGTGCCTGTTGTGTATAGCGAGAGCTGCAGAGTGCAGTAAATATTGGCGCCCCTATTGTAACTGTCTAGTCTCTAGGTGAATGGATGCTGTAATCTGTTCGCGTGGTACTGCCTGCTGAGCGCTGTGTTGTTCGGAAACAAGAGTCGAAGAGAAGGTTGTAGATGGATCAGAGCCGGTAACTAACTGTTGCTTGTGAGTGGTTGCAGTCGTCTGTAGTGCTGATACTGATACTTATACATGGAGGAATCTTCGGTTGTTGGTTCAATTATTTGATCAGTAGTGTCCTCATGGAGGGGGAAATGTGGGTGGTGAGCTGTCCTAGTGGTAGATTTACCCCTATTGTCTGTGGCCGTGGGAAGCCCTGCGTGAAGGAAACTGCAAGTGGAAATTGTTGCGGATTCTATTCAGACTTGATTTTCACATGGAAGAGGTATCTTATTAAAATTTTAATTTTTGGGAGGTTGAAATTTCCAGTCGACATAGTGACGCAATTGAATAGTTGTGATTAGGTGGTATGATTGCGTAAGGAGGAGGAAGGAATTGGATCAGTTGGAAAATACACAGGAAAAAAGGGCAGGGGGGGGGGGTTGGTTTGATTGAGTGCTATATACTCGTAATGTAAGAAATTTGTATGTAATTATGTTGGAAAATTATGGACGGGTAATTGCCATTGATTTATGTTATTATTATGACGGATGACCTGGACCAACGGCAATGTTACCTAATCATGTAATTATATGTAAGTGTGTGTAACGTGTACTAGAAATAGGGAATATTATAAATATGTAACTATATTATGTAGGTTATATGTAGTTTTATGTATTTATATGTGAATTATGTGTGAATTTAAACAATCGACGAGGAGACAATAGTCGTAAAATGGCAATAAATAAGATAAATTGTGCACTCATAACAACAGCAAAAATGAAGAAAGTCAAGTTCCATAACGTTTTCTTGTGACTGTCATCAGTGGAACGCCGTCACATAAAAATGTAATAACTAAAACACACACTTATATACATGTAGCTAATATGGTTTCAGGTAGAAATACAGCAGCTAACAAGTACAAAAAGCGAAGTTTGCACCTTTGCAATGTGTGAATATAGTGTATGTGAGAAAGGTAGTGGCAGATGAATGTGATACTGTGTGAATGAATGTAATGGTGCGTGTGTATTATTTGAAGAGTGTGAGTGATACAACGTTTTCTTTCTGTTTACATAGCACAGGGTCACGAGTACGAATATACACAGCTTCCAACACCTGCAGTTGCTTGAAGAAACGTGCGCAACGAATAACACTAAACCAGGAATCGTCAAACACCTTACGACATTCTGGACTGGACACCAAATGCTTGTACACTGCAGACTTCCTCTTGTCAACATCAAACTCCTCCTCATCACTACTCTCATCCTCCACCTCCATTCCAATGCCGCCGCCGTCCATCCCATCGCACTCGTATTCGTCGTCATCAGTCTCCATCTCCTCGCGACACCGCTTCCCTCTCCTTGATTCGTTCTGTGCCGTGCCTGTGCTTCCTCCTGCGTCTCCTTGCCTTGTGTTCTCCACTTGTCTCAGTCGTGCCTCTGCTAGTCTCTTGCTTCTCCTCGGTTCTGTTCTGTTTTCAAGTTGTTCCCCTTCCGCTCTTACCGTTGCAGCAACATGGTTTGTTGAGGAGCGACCGTCCGGCGGCCTCCCTTGCCGTGGTCCGGTTTCCGAGGGGGGAACCAGATTAGTCTGCTCGTTCTCCATGGAAGTAGTCGGTGTTTCTGTTTCCGAATTGTGAGCCGTGCTAGGTGTAGAAATAGGCAGCGGATGTTTTCGTGGTCTCCCACGCTTCGGCCTGCTTAACCTGGCAGCCTGGGACAACAAGGCTGCCAGGCTGCCAGGTTAAGCAGGCCGAAGCGTGGGAGACCACGAAAACATCCGCTGCCTATTTCTACACCTAGCACGGCTCACAATTCGGAAACAGAAACACCGACTACTTCCATGGAGAACGAGCAGACTAATCTGGTTCCCCCCTCGGAAACCGGACCACGGCAAGGGAGGCCGCCGGACGGTCGCTCCTCAACAAACCATGTTGCTGCAACGGTAAGAGCGGAAGGGGAACAACTTGAAAACAGAACAGAACCGAGGAGAAGCAAGAGACTAGCAGAGGCACGACTGAGACAAGTGGAGAACACAAGGCAAGGAGACGCAGGAGGAAGCACAGGCACGGCACAGAACGAATCAAGGAGAGGGAAGCGGTGTCGCGAGGAGATGGAGACTGATGACGACGAATACGAGTGCGATGGGATGGACGGCGGCGGCATTGGAATGGAGGTGGAGGATGAGAGTAGTGATGAGGAGGAGTTTGATGTTGACAAGAGGAAGTCTGCAGTGTACAAGCATTTGGTGTCCAGTCCAGAATGTCGTAAGGTGTTTGACGATTCCTGGTTTAGTGTTATTCGTTGCGCACGTTTCTTCAAGCAACTGCAGGTGTTGGAAGCTGTGTATATTCGTACTCGTGACCCTGTGCTATGTAAACAGAAAGAAAACGTTGTATCACTCACACTCTTCAAATAATACACACGCACCATTACATTCATTCACACAGTATCACATTCATCTGCCACTACCTTTCTCACATACACTATATTCACACATTGCAAAGGTGCAAACTTCGCTTTTTGTACTTGTTAGCTGCTGTATTTCTACCTGAAACCATATTAGCTACATGTATATAAGTGTGTGTTTTAGTTATTACATTTTTATGTGACGGCGTTCCACTGATGACAGTCACAAGAAAACGTTATGGAACTTGACTTTCTTCATTTTTGCTGTTGTTATGAGTGCACAATTTATCTTATTTATTGCCATTTTATGTGTGAATTATAATTATATTTTCGTGACATATGGGGAATATGGTTTTTGTGCGGTTGGTGAGTGTATCGTTGCGAGTGTGTGTCGGTCAGGGGCCTGCCAGGCAAAGAGTGTTCTCCTTAAAAATGTCACAGCCATTCGTATGTGTACGTTACTCCAGCATCAAGGTTCATACTTGGCTGTCTTCTTTTGATCAGGAATGCCTCTGTGTACTTCCGTAATGCAAGTTGGGGTATTCGGCGAAGGATGACGGGATTTGCCCAATCAATTGCATGTCCAGTATCCAGGACGTGTTTGGCCACACCATTGTCTGCTTTCCTGTTGTGGACGTCTCTTTGGTGCTCCTCCATTCGTTTTTTTAACCGTCTTCCTGTTTCTCCCACGTACTCAGCTCCACAGGTGGCGCAGTTCAGGGCATACACTACACCGTATTGGTCCTTGATGGATGGAGGCGGGGTTTTTTTCCTTGTGAGCAGGTTCTTCAGGGTGGTCGATCGCCGGTGAACCATACGGAATGGTGCGTTCTTCGTTTTTCTTTTGATTTTCTCCGATAGCCCACGGACATAGGGTAGTGAGAGCGGTCGGTATGTGTAACTGGAAGCCGGTCTCGGTTGATGTTGTTGTTGTTGTTGTTGTTGTTGTTGTTGTTGTTGTTGTTGTTGTTGTTGCTGCTGCTGCTGCTGCTGCTGCTGTTGGTGTTGTTGTTGTTGTTGTTGTTGTTGTTGTTGTTGAGGTTGTTGTTGCGGTTGTTGTTGTTGTTGTTGTCGGTCTTGCTGTTGACGGTGTCGGCGATGAACCTGTTGGATTACCCCTTCGATGGTCTCCAGTGGGTAGCCGTTGGAAAGGAATTCAGTGCGGAGAGTTTCTCTCTCTTTGTCTTTCAGCAGGTTAGTGCTGCAATGCGATTCGATCCTCTGTGCCAGGCACGATAATGTAGCACATTTCGTGGCATTAGGATGGTGGGAGGCGAAATTGATGTATTTACCCGTGTGGGTTGGCTTCCTGTACACTTGTGTCGACAGATTAGTCTCAGATCTTTGGACCCAGACGTCCAGGAAGGCAATACCTCCATTTTTCTCTTCTTCTACCGTGAATTGGATATGTGGTGATATGGCGTTGGCGGCTGCGAGTACGTGGGGTAGTTCTCCCTTCTTGATGATGGTGAAGGTGTCGTCCACGTACCGCAGCCAGGCCTTGATCCTTTCACCACATATTGCCAGAAGTCGTCCTTCCAGCCACTCCATGAAAATGTCAGCTAACACGGGAGAGAGTGGTGAACCCATGGCCGCACCTCTTGTTTGTCTGTAAAAGGTCTGGTCGTACTGGAGGTATGCGTTATTGACACAAAATTCTACCAGTTGTACGATGCTGGTCACTGAGAGCGAGGTGTCCCTGTTTGCTGGGTTCTGGGTGTCTAGTTTCTCTTTTAGGATCTCTAGAGTCTTGGCCATTGGGACGTTGGTAAAAAGGCTTTTGACATCAAAGCTAGCCATTGCGTGGTCGTTGTCGATGTGAAGGTCTGGTATCGTCGTGATGAAATGCCTTGAATTTGCGATGTATGTGTCTGTCTGTCCAGTGAGAGTTCGGAGGATCTTGGCCAGGTGGCGGGCTAGGCGGTGCGTCGGTGAGCCTATCGCAGCCACTATTGGCCTTAGTGGGATTCCTTCTTTATGAATTTTTTGTAATCCATAAAGATGTGGTGCGGAGCAGGTCCACGGATTGAGGAAAAGCTTTTGGCTTTTTGTTAAGGTCTCGTCCCGTGTGAGTGGTTGCAGAAGTGAGTTTAGTTTCCGTATTGTCCGGTCTGTGGGGTCTGTCGTCAAGGTGGTGTAGGTGGTAGTGTCGTTGAGATGTTGTTGTATTTTTTGGTCATAATCGTTGGTGTCGAGGAGAACCACTGCCTTTCCCTTGTCCGCTGGCAAGACAACAACTATTACAACAACATCAACGTCCATCAACACCCAGACCACAACACCAACGTGCAGACGGGGTGTTCCGACGTGGTGAAGGCCTACCCATGGCCTCGTCGGGACATCACCAACCTCGTCGGCAGCGAGCACCTTCTCACAACAGTCGTCATGGTGATGACTATGACTGTTACAGCTGACGAGCTGAGAGAAGGACGCCATGGGCAGAAGTTGAAAAAAGACAAGAAAAAAGAAAAAGAACAAAAGAAAAAAGAAATATAAATTACAAATAATTTATTTACAGAGGAAGACAAGAAAATAACATCACAAATCCTTCCAGACGTGATCCCTGCAGCGGCAGCAACGTGAACAATACTACGGCGGCAACACGACGACTTCTACAACACAAAAAAACGAAAATTATAAAAATCCTACCAACCCGTAGAGTAACGAGGGTCCGAACCTGGGTTTTCCCAATACGGTTCAAATGGTCGCAAGACCGGGACTCTGCCAACCGGTTTATGGTTGTAGTCAGGAGCACTACGCGTCCTCGCCTTGTAACATGCTGTCAAAATCGAAAAATACCGGAATTGTACTACTCCCTGGTCTCGAAGTGGGCTTTGCGTCTTAGCGTTGAGTTGAGTTTTCTTTCAATCTTTACCAATCCTCTCTCCTATTCATTATGCATCAGGTCAACTTCGGGTAGGTATTGGTATATTCTTATTATGTTCCAATTTCGAACTGTGTTTTATCCATGCCCTGGTTTCGCTCGTGCATATCCTCCCTTATCACAACTGTCCTCTCCCAAAATCTCCGGCTATCGTTCTGAAGAAGACAATCGCCGGCACGTTAACCACATACCGGTACTAAATGTCAGTAAATCTGAAGAAGGGCTGAGGCTTCCTGCAGCTTCATCTGCGAAAGATGAAGTGGTGCTACACGCTGCGTATACTGCTCCTGTGTGGCTTCCACTGTATGCATTGTTCTTCTTACCTGACGATGGCCAAGTGCCAACACGTTGTAAAATAACGGAACTGGTTCCGACGTTCGGATGAGCAGCGCTTTGGGAATGGTTGTGACTGTGTCCACCCGAATTCCTTTCACTAATGTCAGTAAGATTCAGTATCAATAATTATTAGTCTAGTAATGCACCTGCTGTACACCTAGCCACAGTTGCAGCCAGACAGGCAGACAGACAGCGCATCAATATTACGTGGCAAGAGATCAAGTTTCATTGCAATGGTGCCGTAATCAATGCATGGCATCAAGCAAGAATATGAAACTAACGAGAACTGCGGATATAGATGCATGAACAATGAGCTCTCGAAAAATATCAGGAACTGGAAGAACCATAGGAAAAATAAATAATCAACAATGATATGGAGGAGTTCTGGGTGTGAGTAACTAGCTGTATCAATACGATGGGATAAGAAAAAATATGCCAGCACAGGATGAAATATCACAGAGAGATGCGATAGCGAAGACTGATGAAACATCACGAGGAGGGTGGTTTTCAAGTGGTACCTACTATTGCTCCGGATTCGTGGGCATGCAACCGGTTGAAGTGAATGGGTCGATAAAAGTAGAAATAATACACAAACCCGGCAGGCTGTGAAGAGCTGGGAAGAGCTGGGTCGGAACTCGGAAGAGAACATGGATCAGTGGCAAATATGATAGAGCTGCTGCAGGAATAAAGGAAATAAATAGTCAATGCTGTGTATAAAGGAATAGGAAATCAAACCTAAAATTGAAATCAAACCTACCTAAAAGTAATTCGAATCAAGCGGATAGAAAGTATCGAAGAAAATGAAACCCTAGCAGATCTAGAAGAATCAAAATAGTATTATAATAGCTATTGTAATAGCTAGCCCAGTTCTGCACAGTCTCCTAGCTAGCTCTAGTAGGGATGACAGAATTAAAATGAAGCCAAACGATTCTTACAAGGGCTATGCAAGTAGTAATCAGAAAAGCGGATACTAAACAATAGCCTAATTCCTTTACCGTTTTCGCTTTCCCCCTATAGTGACATGAATACGACTGAAGAATGAAAATCTGCACGCGGGTGATCGATAGGTATAGTAGAGAAAGATAGAGAGAATGGGAGAAATCCGAAATCCTGCGATGACGCATTGCACACAGAGAGGTCGCGAGATAAAAAGAAGTGCATGCACAGCTGGAACAGTGTGCCATTCGAAACCTCCAGTCAAAGAATAAAGCAGGCAAGCTGTCAACACGACTGGCATGGGTCGGGGAACACGACTGACAGCTTCTAGTGTGTCAGAGAGACAACAGCAACACTTACAAAGAAGTTAAATTCAGCTATGTCCATACAGGAAAAGACACACAAGTCACTGATAAATGGAGGCAAAATTGCCGAAGAACGGAGCGTTCAGTGGGCCACCTGCAACGAAAAGCTGCTGAGCAGACGGACTGTGAGCCACCGTGTAGACTGCTTGGAAGATACGATTGTTGCCAATGTGCGCTTGGTACTCGAGAAGATCACTGGCACGCTGCATGAGTGAGTGTGTGGCAAGGCATGCGCATAGACACATAGACACATAGACAAATAAGAGGACAGTCGGTCAGCCATAACATCTGTACACGTACTACCTCCGACAAGCGAAACTTGGCGCGTTTTTTGTTGTTGATTTTTTTGTGTTGGTACCACAACTTCACAAGGCTGTGAGGTACGACCTACTTGTACCTCCATGCAACCGGGTGCAGGAAGCCAAGAGACGAGCTGGTGAGTGGCACATGGCTCAGACTTAGTCAGAGGCAAGCCAGTCTCTCGTGTACCAGCAAAACAGTGCGCGCGTCCATTCTGCGAAGGAGAATCGTCGTGCTTTCGCGTTGCAATGGAAAACCAAGGAGTTCTCTCTCTCCACTTGGTCACTCCGCCCGCACAGAGTCCATACGTCCATGCCAAACAATCCTAGCGTCTTTCAATAGCCACTAGAGCGATGCGTCTCTGGTGGCTAAGGAAAATTGCCAGGAATTGCTGCAGGCAATTTTGGACAGTTGGCGAGAATACCCGGCAAAACAGTTGGAGTCCAGGCGTTTGTGGAGGTGTTGCACAGTTCTTACCACGTCAACCTGGATAGTGGCGGCGGAAACGACTACCCTCGACACCGTGGCTCGAGCACAGCACACAGGAGCGACATCGAGATTTTCAGAGCGATCACAACAGTGGTACTTGCTGCAACTGAATCCGCTCTAGTCGCACTTTCGTCTCAAAACAGGAACAATTCCTCTCCAGACAAAACTGCGATCTCTGAATCAGAGGAGAGTGATTCAGCCGAACAGATGTCTCTAATGTCCTTGTTGAGCAATACAAAGTTGAATTTTGGTGAGTCAATCATTAGTTTTGATTGTAAAGTGTGAGTTATTTCTAGTAATTTGAAGTAAAAAAACGCGCCAAGTTTCGCTTGTCGGAGGTAGTAGGTGAAAGGCAGAGGGTCAGGCAGATGGAAAATAAGGCAACACACACAAGCAAAGCAACAACTCCACCAGCTTGAAAGCAGGGCTTGAACCTAGTTGCAGGCATTTCTCAGCCAGGGTCTTTTTTGGAAGATACTTGGTCCGACTTATTAAAATGTGCGCTTCGCTTCAAAACTCAAGCCTATATCCAAAGGAGCTCCTGTACTAAAAAATCGACCAAGAGACGATAGATAGATAACTACTGTGTCGTTTCTTGACCTGACCTTCTAGTTTTCATCTCTGCTGGTGTCTGAGGGCGCTTCTTCAAGTGCGTCAACCTGCAAAACGTCGACATTTTTTTCATCTCCTCCAAGCTACACTGCACTTCCTTGATTTTTTCACTCCATAGGCACGATTTAGATGATCGACTTCGCCTCCTCCTCGTGCAGAACGACTGCCAGAATGGTGGCTGTAGGTGTTTTCGCCTGATGCTCCCACGAGACTTTCAAATGAGGCGAACAAGTAAACCACCACGCATAAAAAATCACTTCTCATCACCGTGTGCCGCGCGTGGAACTACTGAGTCTGATCTGTGTCGACATGACTGTCACACAGTCAGCTGCATCAGACCATGCGTGCTCTTCCCTGCCTGTTTCACGAATCCACTGGCCCCGGAGACTGGCGATCTTGTGACGCATTGCGGCTCCGAGGAGTCGGCGAGGACTCCACACCGTATCCACCCTTTCTGCGCTTCAGTTTTCCAGCCAGGTTGTCGCCTGAAAGTCGACCTCAAGGGCGGTTGTTTATACCGATCAACTTCTCGACGATCTCTTTTGTGACCTTGATTCGTCGGCCGCCACATCGTGAACGAATACGAGAGAGAGATCAGCACAAACTGGACGGAGCGATGCAGGTGCTTTCTGCACGAGTTTCTGGATGACGCGTTTGCTGAACTTGATTCTTCCAAGGAAACAGCGACTGCAGCGATTTCAATCCGCCAGGAAGCACTCGAGAACGATCGCCCAGGAGTTTCTGGTACTCCGTGACAATTCCCCATCGCAGTGGGGTGTTGATTTCAGCACCAGGCCTTCTCTGTGTTGCGCGAGAAGCAACAGGAGTCCTCTGACGACAAAAGTTGCACGCAAAATGCTCGAGTCGACTAGGATCCTGAGGCGCTGCCTCCTTTTTTGGGGGTTGGAGCCATTTCTTCTTCAACATCACAAATCGACAACTGAAGGATAGTGTTAGGTAGCTGGAAAGTTTGTTCCGTCCTGAGATTATTTGAATTTGTTTGGCTGACGTTCGAAGCGAAACGCACATTTTAATAAGTCGGACCAAGTACACACGGTCTTGCATAAAGAGTGTCAAATACATATGCACATGCATGCATGCTGACTGCATACTTTGACTTTGTGAATACCTAACCACCACGCCCTTCCTAAAACATACAAACATCACATATGCATGGACGCACACACAACACACACACACGCACAACCCCCCCCCCCCCCCCCACACACACACACATATACACAAGCATGCATAAAATTGACCAAGCAACCTACCATATATCCCTGGCGAGGCACCAACTTGGCTGGCGAAGACAAGCTGCCAAGATACTTCTCGTTTCTCGTGTCGTATGTCAAAACTTCACCAGAGCCACAGCCAACTGTCAGTAAATGGTCCTGAAATGCTAACGAACGCACCGCTGTGCAAGGAAAAGACGGGGAGATGCAACAGTAACGGAAACATGTCCAACACCACTCTTGATCAAGAGGGTAGTTGACTGCTGGTATGGAACACTGATGACGTGCAGGAGAAGTAGCTCATGGCCAAACGTGCTTTCAAACTGCTTATCTTCCATGACATGAAACTCTACAATCATGGTACTGTTTGTATCATGAACGACGCACCTTTCAGAGCGTAGAGCCAGCATCGCATGTGCTCACATGTGGACGTGGAAAACGTCAGTACAAAATACGCTATACGAGGAGGGGCTCGCAATACTGGGGTCGATTGTAGTTTCTCTCCAGTACATAAGATTCTAATAAGCCCCGAGATGCTCGTGCAGAAATAAATAAGTCAAAGAGACTGAAGATAGAATATTTCCGGCCCCAGCCAAAATCTGTCCTGTCGGTATGGGATTAGGAATAGCAGCAGGTATTGCAAGGGTAGTTTCCTGGGTCTGAGGGTTATTATTTGCCTGAACTTCTCAACTAGAGAACCGTGTGGAAATAGGCAATTTTGGTTGTTTCTGCGGCCACAACATTTCATCAACTCTTGCCCGGGTCCACAAGGCCAACAATTTCAAATTGTGGCTTGTACTTCACGATTCTATGAACCATAGCATGGCATGAGGCATATTGCCACACTGAGCTGAAAGACGTTAAAGTTGAGTTCTTGTGAATAAACCCAAGTGCTCTTTCTCCCTCTCTGTCTGTCTGTCTCTCTTACCCTGTATGCCACAAGGCAACGCTACACGTCTCCTCCACAAACAGCAACACGTATCAGCCAGTAGAAAGCAGTCCGACGACCCCACGGCGTACATGCTCTGATCGGCGTTGATCGTCACGCACACATTGTCCGTTATCGCCGGCGTCTGGACCGTGTGCACCTGGATGGGGAAACAGTCGGCAAAACAGTTTGAAACGTCTAAACAAGCGGCGAGGCGTCAATAATTTGAGGATAGCGGCCAACAGGACAAACTAAATCGACATTTCATAACGGCTTTATTGTGCATGTACATGTATGCGGAAGAACGTGAGGGGATGGACAAAGAACAGTCGGGTTTAAAATATTCATTAGTTTGAGGGAGCTGCAAACGGGAAATGACGAAAGAAAAAACTGACTGTCACCAGCAGGACTCTAACCAGGGACCCTTGCGTATGGCCAACGATGCTCTACCATTAGGCTATGATACAGTTGTCATCCAGGCAGGAAAAATCAAAGCGGTGAAAAATCGCCAAATATCCTACCTTGACCATTACGCTGACGTTCATGAAAGCCAAGCGGCCATTCGGAGAAAGCAAGGCTACTTCCTGAAACAGACACACAGCAACAGGTTATACAGCATCATTTGGCTACTAGTTGGCAAAGATGACGACCGTATTTCCCCGATTATAAGCTGCAATCAAATACCCCCCCCCCCCATTTTCATGTCCCAACCATAATAATTATTCTTTCAATAATATTATAGTCATACAAGTAGAATTTCACACTCGATTATAAGTGGCATCCCCTTCCTGGACCTTGACATCTTGTGTTAAAAAAAAGGTTCTACTTATGTTCGGGGAAATACAGGAAGCAAGAGAAAAATACAGAATACACGGCTGAGGGGACAGAGAATCAGAACGGTGGAAGTGTAAGCAGTGATGGTTGTCATGTAGAGGTGCAGATGGTGGTGACAGCGCAGTCAGTGAATGTGACCGCAGAAACAATTCAAGGCTTTTCAGGCACTCTTAAGTCTTAACCCTTATCCGACCGTCAAAGTGGACAAATTCTCAGTCCCAGCGAGACGCCGCGACTCATTTTGTTGATAACTTTAGTTTCCCTTGGGAGATATTGGCAAACTTCGGCTTTTTGGAAAGCTTGAGCCATGAGGAATTCTCTAGAAACAGATTCTAGCTTTCATTTGTAAGAGGAACAAAACTCCATCTCCAATTCCATTTTTTGAAGAGAAGTACGGCCCATCGACGTTTGGACTATTTGTAGTCTTAATTTTCTACTTTCATGCTAACACATTTTGAATATACCATCAGGGAAGCATCCAGGCAAAGTTTTAGGAGGGCAATGATTACATTACCATTTGAAAACTTGTTTCGTACGCGGTGTGAAAACAGACCTCGCTCAGAGACTTATAACTTCTCTTTGAAAGATGCTAAGACGCTCCGGTCTTTTGCAAATGAATGGTGGGTCTTTCCAGCATCTTTTGAGACCAAACTGGTGCAGATTCGATCAAAACTAAGTGAGTTCCAGCTTGTTAAAGTCATCGACGGATAGTCGTCGATTTTTGACTGGCCGGTCGGATAAGGGTTAATAAAGATGCAGCAACAAAATGAAGGCGGAAGCAGCGACAGCAATAGCATCACTGCTACTAGCGACATTACTAGCACTGCACACACCAAAAAAATGCCAAGACGACGAATCAACCAGCGCTCTAATAAGACGCCAGCGGAGTTCTTCAACTCACCTGTTTTCGTTGACACAGCGCCATGTCGCGCACCAGGTCCGAGTCGGCGAAGCAATACGAAGCAACTGGCGACATAACTGAGCCTTCGCGTGTGTTTGCTAAGGACCAGACTGACAGACGGTGATCACGCGACCCTGATACACACAAAAAGCAGAGACACAACATTCGCGGCATTGTGTGACTTTTCCTTTTTTTCTCAATCGGTGGCTCTCTCTCTCTCTACTCACAAACTAGTCTGGTGCTTTCTGTGTGTGGATAGCGGTAGAGAAATTATGGCACTTTCCCCATGGGTCAACGTTTAGCTTGTGAACAAGCAAAAAGATGCCTCGGCAACACACTGGGCTAACTTATGACGAACAGGATTCTTTGTTCTTTGTTTATTCTGCCACATGGCACAAGGCCAGTGTCCATTTGCATGCATGTGCACTGCCCTGTAGTGACATAATAAACCAGTAACTTTATAGTGTGTCACTTTGCATACCTGAAAGGATGATGTCATCGTTCAGCCACTTCAGGGCAAAGATCCAGTCTTGGTGGCCCTGTGCAAGAAAGCAGAGAGGCAGCACAAGAAGCATTAGTCTCACACCATAGCATGCGTGTATGTGTGTGTGTGTGTGTGTGTGTGTGTGTGTGTGTGTGTGTGTGTGTATGTGTGTGTGTGTGTGTGTGTGTGTGTGTGTGTGTGTGTGTGTGTGCATGCATGAGTGAGAAAGAGATAAAGAGTAGAAAAGGAAAGGGGAGGGGGGGGGGGAGAGAGAGAGTGACAGAGAGAGAGAGAGAGAGAGAGAGAGAGAGAGAGAGAGAGAGAGAGAGAGAGAGAGAGAGAGAGAGAGAGAGAGAGAGAGAGAGAGAGAGAGAGAGAGAGAGAGAGAGAGAGAGAGAGAGAGAGAGAGAGAGAGAGAGAGAGAGAGAGAGAGAGAGAGAGAGAGAGAGAGAGAGAGAGAGACAGAGAGACAGAGAGACAGAGAGAGAGAGAGAGAGAGAGACAGAGAGACAGAGAGACAGAGAGAGACAGAGAGAGACAGAGGCAGACAACTCACCAATCCCAAAGCATACGGATCAAGGCTGGGTAGTCGGTAGAAGGCCACATCACGCACATTTTCACCACCGGCCGCCAGCATGTCACCGGATGGACTACGAGCCAGACTGTGCATACCTGAACGGGGTGACGTGCATTGCTCACCCCTAAAACCCAGTGGCCGTGGGATAGTGGGAATCTTGATCAGCTTGCTGACCACCGTGTCATAGAGTAATACCTAGCAGAGAGCATGTCAAAGAACAAATTACTCACGAGCTCTTTGGAAACATACTGCCGTACCCACTTAGGACACACACATGCACACCATGTGCGCACGCACACACACACACACACACACACACACACACACACACACACACACACGAACACACACACACACACACACACTCTCTCTCTCTCTCTCTCACTGTCTCACTCACACTCACTCATACACACCCACACACACGCGCGCGCGCACACACGCATGATGCAAGCGCACAAATACCGGTAGCTCTTGTCCGTCTACCCGGTTGTGCTCTAATAGATTCTTTCTCTACAAGTGCCTCTGGCCTGGGCTCCAGTCTGGTTAGAACTGAGGAGTGAACCGGTGGCAGTCATGAGGTCTGTCTTCACCTGCCACCATAAAGATCCCTGTGTACAAGTCATAATAGTGGCCTCATGATATCGACAAGACTGGACTGTGACATCCCGTACACGCACGATATGGGCTCTCTTGGCAGAGGAAAAACAGTTTTGGAGAACACACATTCAGGACCGACGGCAATACCGTCTCGAGACGAGCTTCCTGATTGATTGCAGAGTGGTATCTACAATGAGGATCAACACTCGTGTACAAAAAGCTGAGGGCGAAAACTATTCAAAGGGCTTGGCCGTGTTGGGTACACATGGAGGACACATACAAACAACCCCAAATACCGTATAAGCTGAGCATTGCGTTCTTCGCCACGAGGACAGTACCTGATTGTCTTTCGTGCCGCAAAGGACCTGATGTTCGGACAGCCAAAGGGAAGAGAACACTTTGTCCGACTGTCCAAAGCATAGTGGCCGTTCTCGGCAAGCGAGAGGAAACGATTCAACTAGCAAGGAACGCTTCCAGCCTTGATGTGTCCCCGAGGCAAGAATCTTTCTTGGGTTGAGCTGCCGCTCGCGCAAGTACTCCAAAGTTGTCATTTTCCACCGCCGCCGTCATATCACTGCTGGCGCTAGGCAAGCAGATTGTGCACATCACAGCTATCGACTACATGTATGTGCATGAAGGTCCAAGGAAACAAACCTTGTATCTCGCCGCGGAAGGAAATTCCATCCCAGTCGAGTAATGAACTGAAAGTAAGTTTTGAAACTGGAAAAGCCTGCTGCACAGATAAGCCATATGGCGTATCGTATCGGTATCGGTATTTTCTTGACGGATCTGCCGAGTATAGATTTTCAAAAGGAAAATGACTTCGCGGCTGTCGTCATGTCGATGACCCAAGCACTGCGCGCAGTACTACTTTTTTTGTAGTATGTATACACTCATACCTCGGTTAACGCGGTTATCCGGACCCCGAAGTTACGGGCACTTCGGTCTACCGGGCACCCTGGCCTGGGGGCAAGTTTCAGTGGAAATATTACTACTCCTGTGTCACTTTGTGTGGAAAAAGTGACGTCACATGCCATGTTCTGTCACATGCCATGTTTATTATGGCCTACCTTTTCCCCATCAAGATGTATATGATTCGGAGTTACGGACATTTCAAAGTTACGGGCAGTGCAAGGTCCCGGACTGCCCGGATAAACGAGGTATGAGTGTACTACCCCCGGGGGTTACGAGTACGGAGTAGAATCTACGGGTTATGTACTCTTGACTACTCGTCCTTGATCGCGACCCTCGCCTCGGCGTCCCTCGCCTTGTGTTTTGTGATCGCCGCCTGATGTCCACACGTCATCATGATCGATCTGATCCATGCATGGCTGTACTGCTGTGAGCAAGGTCGGGGAATCCCCAGCCCCTTCATCAGACTTACGTCATCATCTCACCTGCTTCAAAAATCAAACATTAAAATTAATTTGTCAGCCTCTTTTTTGCTACTTTTGTACTAGTATAGTAGTACCAAGAGTACATAACCCCCCGGGGGTTATGTACTCTTGGTAGTACATGCATGGTGATAATACTTTATAAAGTTAGTTGTGACAATTTCGGATTGAATTACTTTGCCACCACGTCTGCTATAGTCTACTAAAGGGGGTTAGCATCGTTCATGGGCAAATATCACAGTCTCTATGTCACAGCATGGCCCTGCTGCAGAAGAAAGTGAATGACGGCTGTCGGGGATTTCTGGTGGAATATTCTCCATTCCCGTTCGACGAGTCTTCTGGTACAGAACACTTACCCGTCACAGTTTTCCCGGGAAAGAAAGTGCTGGCCCCGTCAGCAAGCTCTCTGGACAACAGTTGGGTGAATCCAGACTATGCTAGGTCCTTACCTAAACTGTGCGCCGCTGACTTGCTTGGTTTGCACATTTACGCCAGCAATGGCCGGCTGGAGGCAATCGCGCTGGCTACGGAGGACCTTGCTGTAATCTGGAGGCTGGTGGGTTGCGATGCGTTGCCGTATGACCTGGAGCTTCTACTGGCAGGGCCCATTCCCAAGTGCGGTCTGGGTATTACCCAGCATCTGATGCAGGCACCAGGGCTTTGGAAACCACTGCCCCTTGACGTGGGCACGTTTCGGGATCTGGCACGAACTACGTACTCGATGCGACCGCGCGGCGCAAGTCCCGTCACGCGACCCTGGGAAGCCTACCTGGGCTTTCGCATTCCAGAGGTGAATTCGGAAGCTTGGCACGAGCCGCTGTGGGCCGAGCTGGTGGACGAGCAGGTGCAGGCATCGTCCACTGCCGCCTGGTCGTCACTTCTTGTGTGCCGCGCCATGGAGCGCTCGCCAGGCACCACTCTGGTGCAGTGCACTCCGTTCCTGAGCAGCGCCAATGAGCTGCGGATCATGGAGCACCAGCAGCATCACTTGCACACCTACATGTCGCGGCAGATGGCGGAGGTGTGCGAGGCCTCATGCCTGCAAGACCTGCACGCTGTGCCGCTGCTCTCCGCCGCGAGGGAGGTGCGCGAGGACTTCGATCTGGACAAGAGCCCGCCAGCGGCACCGGTGGTCGGCGATGTCTGGACGGAGACGCATCACTGGCACACGCTGCCGCGAGGAACGCCGCGTATGTTCGCGCTGGCGTCGGTGACAGCCGCCGTGACTCTGCTGGCCGTCGATTGTCCCGGCAGGGACGGCAAGCCTGCCAAGACTGTGAACATCGTCCGGCCCGGTCTGGTGCCGCGCCGTCAGGTCACAGAGATACGCAGCAGCAGTGGTGGCAGTGGCAGCAAGTCTGAACGAAAGCGCCAGCGTCACGAGAACGTCGACGCGTACGGCCACATGCTCGCCTGCCACCGTAACAAGGTAGACCACGGACTGGTACGGCTGTCCAACACGCAGAAGGCGGAGGTGTTCGTCTCTGTCGCTCCCCTGAGCAGCTTCAACGACGACGAGCTGGCCAGCGAGGCGGTGGCCGCAGAGCAGGTGTTCCGCAGCGCTCCGTCGTCCGCTCAGAGCCCCAGGGCCGCCGACGAACACCTGAAGCTGCACGCCAAGCGGCTGCGCGACTTCACGCGCGTCGCGCTGCGCCTGAACGTGGCGCCGTTCGTCCTGGTGACGGTGTCGGGTGTGAGCATGACCCGGCCCGGCGGGGACATCCAGTCGGCGAAGCAGTGCAGCAAGCGTCCCCTAGCGCCATGCTACACGTACGAATCCGTACTGGAAAACGGCGCGGGCGGCGGTACCAGGAGGCGAACCCGCTGACTGCGAGCTCGCAGGGTCTCTGTGTCAGCTGTTCAATCTCCTCGTCGTGATCTCTTGGGTGCCTGCCGCTCCGGAGACTGGCTGTAGTCTGCAAAGAAGGGTGACCCTGTGCACAGAGCTGCTGTCAGAATTACTGGCTTGTATGACTTGTATAGTGATCAGGATTGCGCCATGTGTCTATCCTGGACAGGCCTTGACAGTGTGTATGCAGGCTAGCGCTACCAGTTTAGTCAAAGTACGCTGCTGCTGTTGCCGCCGGTGGTGGTGTGTTCAGTGCGTTTTGTAGGGCGCTGCACACTTGGCAGTTTGTTTTAGGCGTTGTGCGCGTGTGTGTGTGTGCGGCGTGTACGTGTGTGGGTGTGCGTGAGTGCAGATGTTTACTCTCTGTGTGTCCCTACCTGTCTGCATCTTGCACTAGTATTTATTGGTGACTTATCGTTCCTGGCGAAACAAGGCTCCCACTAGCGAGTGGCCGCTATCGAAAACATTGCAAATCAACGCTGTCCGCTGACGAATCTATTTTATTCGCATGGCAAGCTCGCATTCTGTCTTCCAAGTCCTTTCCCAGCACTAACAGGGCGATGAACTCGCGGTCTTGCTGTCCGCTTTGTGGTCATATCCACTTGTGCCCTCACTCGGCACGATGCCGCCTCCTTGTATATATTATAACATTGACTGCAGCCACGCTGGTTAGTGGTACTGTAGTGTACTCTCGCGCACTATTGGCGATCTCCGCCTGGTGCTTATGGTTATGGTTTCGCTGTGCATATCTAACCGCTTTGACTCTCGGTGCATCATTCTGGCTCTCTCTCTCGCTCACTCATTCATATTGATACTTATCTCTTCGTATCGTGTCTATTCAGCTTGGTGCAGGTCTAGCGGTGTGCTGCTGCTGCTGCTGCTGCTGCTGCTGCGGGAGTTGTGATTCTGATCGTCAACATAACTGAGGTTATACCAGGCCACTTCCGTCACCACCGGGGCATGTGTCTGGATTTCCTGGCTGGCAACGCGTCATGCGTGCGTGTTGTTCCTTTCCACCAGCTTGTGCATGCAGGACCCAATGGGATTGGTCAACCACTGCATGATCCAGAGTACTAGTATACGGCTGATAATGGCGATGTTCTACTCCACGAGACGGGGAACGCGACGTGAAGAATCCCAGGTAACCCTCTTTGCGTTCTCCTAACGTAAAGGAAACCTGTTCTGCTCTAAATTCAAGTAAAGAAGTCACATGGAATATGCCATGTGTACTGGGATTTCCCCGTCTTATTTGGCAGTTTTCCCTGTCCCCTCGGGGGAAAAACGCGATTCCGCGGCCACGGCAAATTTTCGCAGAAATTGCCATCATCCGCGGAAATTACGGAATCCACACTTTTGCCCGCGGAATCTGAATTTTTTAGGGTAAATTAGTAAAATTATTACTCAGAAAGCAGCAGAAAAACTACTTTGCGATCTTTTTGAGCACATGCTCTTGCCAGTGTAGGTGAGTGCAGATCTCTCCAAGATTCTGTGAAAAGTGCTCCTTCATGCAACTAGTTGTCATATCCTCTACAAGGAAGGTGAAAACTTGCAGAAAATGCAGCAGATTTTTGATTTTACCGCAGAAAACCCCCCTTCCCCCCCCCCGCGGAATTTTGAATTCTTGGCTGCGTTTTTCCAAAGGGACAGTTTTCCGCTTGCATTTGAATGATACAAAGCCGTAGACTCTAACCCAGCCAGTTATCTACGTGATTTCTCTACATTTCACACACAAACAAACACACACACACATACTCCTGTCACTCCTGCCCATTGGTGAAGCGATGATAGCGAACAAGCTATGCTAGACATAGCAACTTGTGCCCCCCCCCCCCCACACACACACACAAGCATTTGTCTCCTACGTGCTCACTGCCAACAGCTGGTCATAATGGGTATCACCGGGAGAGGGGTATAAGAGAACCGAAAAGAATTCTGGAAAGGCGGCTCGGCTATTGAACTGACCAACACCCAATAAATCCCCAAACGTTTGGCGGACTAGACATCGCCCACGGGCTAACCACACCGCAGTAAGCGGGCGAGAACACGCGTGTAGGAAGGGATTGACGGCATCAATGTATCCGTTCCCAGATCGAACTATTTCCCCACGGCCACAGTGAAGGGATACATGCTACTACAAGAGGCCTCACTAGCATCATTCAACAATCTGCATGCAATAAAATGTCTTGCCAATAGCAGTCCATTGGTCAACAGATAAGTTATGTACACATCGAAAGTACTACAGTGGAGATTGGATAATATAACGACACTCCTCCGGCAGAGAACAAAATGTCACTATATTCGACCTGTCACTAAACCCGATCTTCACAAAGGACTTACTAAACGACATGGGCAACAGAATTGTGTCGCTAAACTCAATCTGTCGTTATACGCAAGGCCGTTATATCCGATCTCCACTGTAGTGGTACATGTACATGTATATGGACCCTGAACCCAACAGGTGGCAGCAAGAGTACATAAACCGGTTTATGTACTTTTGGTGGCAGGTACAACACATTCAACAATGCACCTTCCAGACACTGAGCTCGACGGCAACAGAGGTGCTACAGTATCTGACATAGGTGCACCCGACAACCTACTTCAGAATGTAGACACACCCACACACACACACACACGCACACACATGCAGACGGACACAGGCAAGAAGAGCCCCAGACACAAAGTGACAGTCGTACTAGAACGAAAGCGAGAGAAAGAGAGAGACAGAAAGCTGAGTGTGTGTGGTATTGTCCACTGGAAAACAAAACTGTGCACGACAAGGTGCTGACAGCGCTACAGACGACAGCAGTGCCTACGAAGTGGCAACACATGCCATTCGGTCAAGCTAAAAGACGGGCAGAACGAGCAAACACACTCGGCGGGGGCAGGATCATGCGTTAAAGCAAACAAGCTGAACATGCGCGAAAGTCAAAAACAGCTGAAAGGCGTTCCGAGAGCATACAGCGCTGGGTAAGGAGCATGCGTTGGCACGGGTAGGCATGGCTGTGCAACTGGGCCGGTACAAGTGAGCGACTTTCGCCGGTAGGTGGACAGCGTGACATCAGTGCGGCCCTGCGGCTGTGCGCTGCTTGGCCTGTACTCGGCTGGTGGCCAACACGCTGCAGCTTCGGCTAGTGCCTGGTGCGGGGTTCATGGCCACCGGCAGTTCTACCTTGGTTGAGACACAGCTGCTGGTCACGCACACCGGGTCGGCAGGTTAGGGGTGGACTGGCCGCTCTAACACCAAGCTGGAGTTGCTAGAAGCGTGTTGCGTTGCCCGGGTGGATCTCGGTTGGGATTCGCACACCGTGTACACCGTCGCCACTGTCTTTCTCGTCGGACACTGCGGTCACAAAGTGGTCAGATCTGCCAGCGCTGGTAGTTAATTGCATACGCACACACATTTGCACACGTGTGCTGAGCCGGGCTGCGTGGTCCCCCGCTTGTCAGCTGCAACAGGACGGCGCATGCCTCCTAATTGGGCATAGGCAGTCCGCGGATTCTGCAAGACAGCGTTGGAAGTTGCTGTAGTCCACGCAACAGACTGCACACCCGGCCAAGTGGTGATGTGACAATGCTCACGGCGGCGACGGCAGCGGCGGTGCATCCATTGCACTCCTCGCAGGTCAGCCGCAGGGAAGCCAACTAGAGCCGGCATACGGACAGCGCACCACTGTCGACATGCTGTGCATGGCGTGGCCGGCGAACGGAACAGAATAACAGTTAATGTGTATAATGGTAGGCTGAAAATCATGGGGAAAAAAACAGGAAATAGGGCCCAACGATACACACCATGATCGTGGCTAAAACGAGACAATCGGGGAAAAAAGACACGGAAAAAGATAATTGAAAAGAATGAGGCGATACAGCAGTGGAAGAGATTAGAAGAGAAAACACACGTTGTTGGACAGATGAAATCAAAAAACGAAAAAGACGGACACATACAAAAAACGTTGACCGGACAAAACGCATTGATGTTGCCCACAAAAGGAAACAAGGAAAGAGAAAGCAGATGGCTTTGCACACATCTCCTCCAGAGTCAAATGGCATCTCGGTGTCCATTGCAGCACTGTGAAGTATACGACCACCGGCCGACTGGCCATGGGCAGTGAGACAACGGGAGCAACGCTATGTCGCTCCACTTCGGCAACGGCAGCAAACAGTTGCAGAAGACGCGTGGGCACGTGCACACACACACACACACACACACACACACACACACACACACACATACACACACGGTAGAGTAGTGTGCGCGCGCGCGCGCGTGCGACTGTACAGCGTCAAGCTGCGACCGTCTGTGATGCGCAGCGGCGGTGTCGGTGCTGGCAGCTGTACTGCTGGCTGCAACGGACTGAAACGGTCAAAACAACGCCCCTTTGTTGAGGGTTGTGCGAGTCACCAACAGCCGTTGAGTTGCAAACGAGGACACGAACGTCCGCCGGTCGCGGAGTGGTCCCAAAGGATGCAACCGCAGGCGTTGCTGTCACATGGCAATTCGAAACCCAGCAGTGTCCGAGACAACAGATGCTCATTCGTGTTAGAGATCTTCATGGAACACACGCGAGCGCGCGCGCACATACACACACACATAGAGAGAGAGGTCGTCGGCTCTGTCACGCTCGATGGAGGGTACGGGCAGCAGAGAGAGGCGGACAAAACACAGACGTCATATGTTTATCTTTTCAGACTCCGGTGGCAGCAACGCAGGCAAAGAGAGCAGCACAGTTGCGCAAAGTACACCACACAGATGTCATGCACACTCGCCATTATCATCAGAGGATGACGGGCTTCCGGACTAGAAAGGCCTGTACGAGGCGGGGTAGTCAGCCGTCGCTGGCTGCACCATCCCAAAGCCGTTCTCCAGCGGCGGATAGCTGGAGTCCTGTGAGAGCATTGCAGAGTCCGACTGAGAACGGTAGTCCTCTGTCATGTAGCTATCCTGAAGTCCACAACAGCAGCAAGGGCAAGGACGGCAGCGACAACCACCACAACAATAGCAGCAGCAGCAGCAGCAACAACAAAGTCAATGACAGCAGGCGCAACAGTGCAACAGCATGGGAATACAAAAAGGTAGATTTGGCCAATGTGTCTGGTCAATACAAGATTCAGCATGGTACAGGGTCCGCTGGTCAATACAAGATTCAGCATGGTACAGGGTCCGCTGGTCAATACAAGATTCAGCATGGTACAGGGTCCGCTGGTCAATACAAGATTCAGCATGGTACAGGGTCCGCTGGTCAATACAAGATTCAGCATGGTACAGGGTCCGCTGGTCAATACAAGATTCAGCATGGTACAGGGTCCGCTGGTCAATACAAGATTCAGCATGGTACAGGGTCCGCTGGTCAATACAAGATTCAGCATGGTACAGGGTCCGCTGGTCAATACAAGATTCAGCATGGTACAGGGTCCGCTGGTCAATACAAGATTCAGCATGGTACAGGGTCCGCTGGTCAATACAAGATTCAGCATGGTACAGGGTCCGCTGGTCAATACAAGATTCAGCATGGTACAGGGTCCGCTGGTCAATACAAGATTCAGCATGGTACAGGGTCCGCTGGTCAATACAAGATTCAGCATGGTACAGGGTCCGCTGGTCAATACAAGATTCAGCAGGGTACAGGGTCCGCTGGTCAATACAAGATTCAGCATGGTACAGGGTCCGCTGGTCAATACAAGATTCAGCATGGTACAGGGTCCGCTGGTCAATACAAGATTCAGCATGGTACAGGGTCCGCTGGTCAATACAAGATTCAGCAGGGTACAGGGTCCGCTGGTCAATACAAGATTCAGCAGGGTACAGGGTCCGCTGGTCAATACAAGATTCAGCATGGTACAGGGTCCGCTGGTCAATACAAGATTCAGCATGGTACAGGGTCCGCTGGTCAATACAAGATTCAGCAGGGTACAGGGTCCGCTGGTCAATACAAGATTCAGCATGGTACAGGGTCCGCTGGTCAATACAAGATTCAGCATGGTACAGGGTCCGCTGGTCAATACAAGATTCAGCATGGTACAGGGTCAGCTGGTCAATACAAGATTCAGCATGGTACAGGGTCCGCTGGTCAATACAAGATTCAGCATGGTACAGGGTCCGCTGGTCAATACAAGATTCAGCATGGTACAGGGTCCGCTGGTCAATACAAGATTCAGCATGGTACAGGGTCCGCTGGTCAATACAAGATTCAGCATGGTACAGGGTCCGCTGGTCAATACAAGATTCAGCATGGTACAGGGTCCGCTGGTCAATACAAGATTCAGCATGGTACAGGGTCCGCTGGTCAATACAAGATTCAGCATGGTACAGGGTCCGCTGGTCAATACAAGATTCAGCATGGTACAGGGTCCGCTGGTCAATACAAGATTCAGCATGGTACAGGGTCCGCTGGTCAATACAAGATTCAGCATGGTACAGGGTCCGCTGGTCAATACAAGATTCAGCATGGTACAGGGTCCGCTGGTCAATACAAGATTCAGCATGGTACAGGGTCCGCTGGTCAATACAAGATTCAGCAGGGTACAGGGTCCGCTGGTCAATACAAGATTCAGCATGGTACAGGGTCCGCTGGTCAATACAAGATTCAGCATGGTACAGGGTCCGCTGGTCAATACAAGATTCAGCATGGTACAGGGTCCGCTGGTCAATACAAGATTCAGCATGGTACAGGGTCCGCTGGTCAATACAAGATTCAGCATGGTACAGGGTCCGCTGGTCAATACAAGATTCAGCATGGTACAGGGTCCGCTGGTCAATACAAGATTCAGCATGGTACAGGGTCCGCTGGTCAATACAAGATTCAGCATGGTACAGGGTCCACTGGTCAATACAAGATTCAGCATGGTACAGGGTCCGCTGGTCAATACAAGATTCAGCATGGTACAGGGTCCGCTGGTCAATACAAGATTCAGCATGGTACAGGGTCCGCTGGTCAATACAAGATTCAGCATGGTACAGGGTCCGCTGGTCAATACAAGATTCAGCATGGTACAGGGTCCGCTGGTCAATACAAGATTCAGCATGGTACAGGGTCCGCTGGTCAATACAAGATTCAGCATGGTACAGGGTCCGCTGGTCAATACAAGATTCAGCATGGTACAGGGTCCGCTGGTCAATACAAGATTCAGCATGGTACAGGGTCCGCTGGTCAATACAAGATTCAGCATGGTACAGGGTCCGCTGGTCAATACAAGATTCAGCATGGTACAGGGTCCGCTGGTCAATACAAGATTCAGCATGGTACAGGGTCCGCTGGTCAATACAAGATTCAGCATGGTACAGGGTCCGCTGGTCAATACAAGATTCAGCATGGTACAGGGTCCGCTGGTCAATACAAGATTCAGCATGGTACAGGGTCCGCTGGTCAATACAAGATTCAGCATGGTACAGGGTCCGCTGGTCAATACAAGATTCAGCATGGTACAGGGTCCGCTGGTCAATACAAGATTCAGCATGGTACAGGGTCCGCTGGTCAATACAAGATTCAGCATGGTACAGGGTCCGCTGGTCAATACAAGATTCAGCATGGTACAGGGTCCGCTGGTCAATACAAGATTCAGCATGGTACAGGGTCCGCTGGTCAATACAAGATTCAGCATGGTACAGGGTCCGCTGGTCAATACAAGATTCAGCATGGTACAGGGTCCGCTGGTCAATACAAGATTCAGCATGGTACAGGGTCCGCTGGTCAATACAAGATTCAGCATGGTACAGGGTCCGCTGGTCAATACAAGATTCAGCATGGTACAGGGTCCGCTGGTCAATACAAGATTCAGCATGGTACAGGGTCCGCTGGTCAATACAAGATTCAGCATGGTACAGGGTCCGCTGGTCAATACAAGATTCAGCATGGTACAGGGTCCGCTGGTCAATACAAGATTCAGCATGGTACAGGGTCCGCTGGTCAATACAAGATTCAACAGGGTACAGGGTCCGCTGGTCAATACAAGATTCAGCATGGTACAGGGTCCGCTGGTCAATACAAGATTCAGCAGGGTACAGGGTCCGCTGGTCAATACAAGATTCAGCATGGTACAGGGTCCGCTGGTCAATACAAGATTCAGCATGGTACAGGGTCCGCTGGTCAATACAAGATTCAGCATGGTACAGGGTCCGCTGGTCAATACAAGATTCAGCATGGTACCGGGTCCGCTGGTCAATACAAGATTCAGCATGGTACAGGGTCCGCTGGTCAATACAAGATTCAGCATGGTACAGGGTCCGCTGGTCAATACAAGATTCAGCATGGTACAGGGTCCGCTGGTCAATACAAGATTCAGCATGGTACAGGGTCCGCTGGTCAATACAAGATTCAGCATGGTACAGGGTCCGCTGGTCAATACAAGATTCAGCATGGTACAGGGTCCGCTGGTCAATACAAGATTCAGCATGGTACAGGGTCCGCTGGTCAATACAAGATTCAGCATGGTACAGGGTCCGCTGGTCAATACAAGATTCAGCATGGTACAGGGTCCGCTGGTCAATACAAGATTCAGCATGGTACAGGGTCCGCTGGTCAATACAAGATTCAGCATGGTACAGGGTCCGCTGGTCAATACAAGATTCAGCATGGTACAGGGTCCGCTGGTCAATACAAGATTCAGCATGGTACAGGGTCCGCTGGTCAATACAAGATTCAGCATGGTACAGGGTCCGCTGGTCAATACAAGATTCAGCATGGTACAGGGTCCGCTGGTCAATACAAGATTCAGCATGGTACAGGGTCCGCTGGTCAATACAAGATTCAGCATGGTACAGGGTCCGCTGGTCAATACAAGATTCAGCATGGTACAGGGTCCGCTGGTCAATACAAGATTCAGCATGGTACAGGGTCCGCTGGTCAATACAAGATTCAGCATGGTACAGGGTCCGCTGGTCAATACAAGATTCAGCATGGTACAGGGTCCGCTCGTCAATACAAGATTCAGCATGGTACAGGGTCCGCTGGTCAATACAAGATTCAGCATGGTACAGGGTCCGCTGGTCAATACAAGATTCAGCATGGTACAGGGTCCGCTGGTCAATACAAGATTCAGCATGGTACAGGGTCCGCTGGTCAATACAAGATTCAGCATGGTACAGGGTCCGCTGGTCAATACAAGATTCAGCATGGTACAGGGTCCGCTGGTCAATACAAGATTCAGCATGGTACAGGGTCCGCTGGTCAATACAAGATTCAGCATGGTACAGGGTCCGCTGGTCAATACAAGATTCAGCAGGGTACAGGGTCCGCTGGTCAATACAAGATTCAGCATGGTACAGGGTCCGCTGGTCAATACAAGATTCAGCAGGGTACAGGGTCCGCTGGTCAATACAAGATTCAGCAGGGTACAGGGTCCGCTGGTCAATACAAGATTCAGCATGGTACAGGGTCCGCTGGTCAATACAAGATTCAGCATGGTACAGGGTCCGCTGGTCAATACAAGATTCAGCATGGTACAGGGTCCGCTGGTCAATACAAGATTCAGCATGGTACAGGGTCCGCTGGTCAATACAAGATTCAGCATGGTACAGGGTCCGCTGGTCAATACAAGATTCAGCATGGTACAGGGTCCGCTGGTCAATACAAGATTCAGCATGGTACAGGGTCCGCTGGTCAATACAAGATTCAGCATGGTACAGGGTCCGCTGGTCAATACAAGATTCAGCATGGTACAGGGTCCGCTGGTCAATACAAGATTCAGCATGGTACAGGGTCCGCTGGTCAATACAAGATTCAGCATGGTACAGGGTCCGCTGGTCAATACAAGATTCAGCATGGTACAGGGTCCGCTGGTCAATACAAGATTCAGCATGGTACAGGGTCCGCTGGTCAATACAAGATTCAGCATGGTACAGGGTCCGCTGGTCAATACAAGATTCAGCAGGGTACAGGGTCCGCTGGTCAATACAAGATTCAGCATGGTACAGGGTCCGCTGGTCAATACAAGATTCAGCAGGGTACAGGGTCCGCTGGTCAATACAAGATTCAGCATGGTACAGGGTCCGCTGGTCAATACAAGATTCAGCATGGTACAGGGTCCGCTGGTCAATACAAGATTCAGCATGGTACAGGGTCCGCTGGTCAATACAAGATTCAGCATGGTACAGGGTCCGCTGGTCAATACAAGATTCAGCATGGTACAGGGTCCGCTGGTCAATACAAGATTCAGCATGGTACAGGGTCCGCTGGTCAATACAAGATTCAGCATGGTACAGGGTCCGCTGGTCAATACAAGATTCAGCATGGTACAGGGTCCGCTGGTCAATACAAGATTCAGCATGGTACAGGGTCCGCTGGTCAATACAAGATTCAGCATGGTACAGGGTCCGCTGGTCAATACAAGATTCAGCATGGTACAGGGTCCGCTGGTCAATACAAGATTCAGCATGGTACAGGGTCCGCTGGTCAATACAAGATTCAGCATGGTACAGGGTCCGCTGGTCAATACAAGATTCAGCATGGTACAGGGTCCGCTGGTCAATACAAGATTCAGCATGGTACAGGGTCCGCTGGTCAATACAAGATTCAGCATGGTACAGGGTCCGCTGGTCAATACAAGATTCAGCATGGTACAGGGTCCGCTGGTCAATACAAGATTCAGCATGGTACAGGGTCCGCTGGTCAATACAAGATTCAGCATGGTACAGGGTCCGCTGGTCAATACAAGATTCAGCATGGTACAGGGTCCGCTGGTCAATACAAGATTCAGCATGGTACAGGGTCCGCTGGTCAATACAAGATTCAGCATGGTACAGGGTCCGCTGGTCAATACAAGATTCAGCATGGTACAGGGTCCGGCAAACACAGGTGCTACTGTAGCTCTACAAACTCCACAACCGGGTCACATACATTCAAGACGCTACAAATTTGCAACCCTAGCATCTCCTTAAAAGTATATATATAATTCTTTTTCCATGGTTCGCGTCAGACTTGGCTAGAGGCCGAGTTTTCCGCATCCGTAGGAACGCCACCACTCTTCAAGGATCAAGGCACAGCGCACTCCTTCAAGCTAATGCTCAAACGAAGAGGAACTAGGGTCATGTGCCTACCTGAGAGAGTTCGGACTGTGAAAGTGGAGCACCGGCACCCACTGGTGGCTGACTCATCGACATTGCACCCTGTGTCAGTGGCTGAGAATAGCCGGACGACTCCTGAAAACACACACGCACACAAAATACAACAAGTGGAAAAACAAACATGCACAGTTGCCCTCACTGAAAGAGTGGATCAAGTAGACCAATGACACACGAAGCCGGTGTTGCCACATCATTCTAGCCAAATATCAGTAGGATAAAAAAATTATAAAATGTATCATCCGGGGGCAGCATGCCGGACTCCTATTTGACTTTTCTGTCTATACCCCATACATAACGATACCGCTTAGCACCTTGGCCGGGAGCTATGGAAACACTTATGATCACCAGTGTAAGCAACCATTTTGAATCATGACTTCTAAACCAAGCAGAAGGGCCACATTGGACACTTTTATGGCTGTTGTCGGCACAAGAAGGTTAATTGTCGGCAGGTCGTGACATGCCTCCAAAATCAGCAGGCTACTGATAAATGGGCAGGTGTGGAAACACAGAATAATGCACACACGCCGGCACACACACACACACAAACGCACACACGCACACGCAAAGTAACGTACCTGACTGGCCTGTGAATTCATGCCCATGTGGTAGCCCTGACGTCCAACGGCACCTGGCATGCCGGCATTCGCACTCACATTGCCACCACCAGCAGCTGCTGCAGCAGCACTTGGACCTGATCCAGGTGCGCCGTGACCGCGAGATGCTCCCGGGCGAGCACCACCGCGGACACCACTACCGACGGCAGCACCACTACTGATCGGACCCCGGGGTCCGCTGCCCGGCATACCGGCACGACCTGGAGCTGCTTGCTGCTGTGATTACACACACACACACGTACACACAGACACACAGACACACACGTACAAACACACATACACATACACACACATGTACACACAGACACACTCACACACAAAATAGCATGTATACATTATTCCTGAGAATTCTGTAGATATCAGGGAGTGAGTGAGAGAGTGAGAGCATGCGGGCGGGCGCGTGCGTGTGTGTAAAAGGCAAAACGACTTATCCCGTCACCAACGCTCATGTCTCCTCTCGTCTCCGTCTCGCTCAACGAGAAACACGTGACCTACAAGGCAGTGTATGCCAGGACCAGGACCAGGACCAGGTGTGTGTGTGTGGGTGTGTGTGTATGTGTGTGTGTATGCGTGTGTGTGCACGTACGACTGTGCGCACATGTGTGCATCCAGTCGAGAACAGGATGTGGTTGGTCTCATTAGAGATGTCAGCATGATAGAAGCCGACACCTCCCCAAGGGACAATCCGAAATGGTTTACTGTAGCACCAGTAACCAAGTGAAGTTTGATTCATGTCTGCCCAAGCAGAGAATCAGTCACTGGGATGACGTGGTGCAGAGTACTTCAGTAGTAACGTTACGTTTCATGATTTACCTCAGCTGCCTATAAATCAAAAACTACCGGTAGAAATCAGAAATCACCTAGCAACTCAATGTGTCAGTTTAAACTATCACCACGGCAACATGATTCTACAGGATACGTGCCATCACACAAAACAGGCTTGTGCCAATGGTCAATCTCGAAAACCAGGCCCGTATTCAGAACTTTGCAGCCTAGAGAGCGTGTGTGGGCAGGCGTGTGTTTACCGCCATATTGCCAGGTGTGTCTTTACCACCATATTTATCAACCATAAGTACAGCTGCAGTGGTGTCTTCAACTACATTCTCCCGTATTCAAGAATGATGGGAAAATGCAAACCCATTTTGGAATTTTAATTCGGATACGGAGCAAGTAACGAATGTAAAAAGAGAAGAAACACATGAGAACAAGTTATGCAGCAACTTTCATCATAATCATCTTATTACAGTCGTGGATACTTGCAGCATAACTCGTTCTCACGTGTTTTCTTCACTTTTTTCCATTTCGGAATGTACTTTTTCAAAAAATCAGGACCGGGAAGCCCCTTCACTTCAGGCCCTTTGAGAATAGTACCGTATGGCCAATATCCTCAAAAGCACAATATATGAACGTCCGTAGATTAGAGCAGAACAAAAGAAAGCCCCACGGATCACTTTTAGGACTTGAGTGGCGAAAAGACGACGCACACCAACCTGGAAGTAGGAGTGTTGTTGAGCTTGTGGTGGGGCTGGCGGTGCGAACATGCCGACAGGAATGTGCATGCTAGCTGCTGCATGGCTTGCGGCTGCTTCAGAGCCAATGTATGCCATCGGGTCGTGAGTCATGTAGAAGTCGTCGCGATAGCCTTCGCTCGCAGCAGCATGCAAGCAACAAAAAATGCGCATGCGCACACATACACACACACACACAGGCACATGGCCACACTCATACACATGCAAGCACACAAACAGACACATACACACACCATGAACATGACTGTCCACTACTCTAGAGTACACTCGTCAGGGACAATATCACACAGATGCACGCCCCCCCCCCCCACACACACACACTTGATTTGTACACGATTCAATAGCAGTAGAAAAGCCCTGATTATTATCATCCCCAAACTGTTGAGGTACACAACTTCACTTGGTGATGACGATAGAAACAAAGAAACTAAAGAGCCAGACAAAGAAGAGAATGTGGTTGGTCTCATTAGAGATGTCAGCATGGCAGCAGCCGACACCTCCCCAAGGGACAATCCGAAATGGTTTACTGTAGCACCAGTAACCAAGTGAAGTTTGATTCATGTCTGCCCAAGCAGAGAATCAGTCACTGGGATGACGTGGTGCAGGACAGGACAATACGTATGGTAAAGGAAACAACTACTGGCCAACAACAACAACAACAACAACAACAACAACAACAACAAAAACAAAAACAACAACAACAAAAACAACAACAACAACAAAAACAACAACAACAACAGCAGCAGCAGCACCACCACCACCACCAACAAATTATTTGTACACGATTCACCAGCTGGCAGCAGTACAACAGCCCTGATCATTATTATCCCCATACCAGTGACACCACTGAGGTAAGAAAGTGGCAATTCACCCGCAGTACAACAGCCCTGATCACTACCATGCCCACACCGCTGAGGTAAGAAAGTGGCGACTTACTCGGTGCGTCTGGTCCAGGATTGGCCAAACCTCGCGTGTACGGCGAGGAAGACATGTATTCGCGGGCACTGTACATACCACGGCTCATGATGCTGGCACCCTGTACAACAGTAACACCAGTGACAATAGTGACAGCGGTGAGTGTGTGTGTGTGTGCGTGTGTGTGTGTGTGTGCACGTGTGCGTGTGCATGCGCGACTGTGCGCGCATGCGCACGTACAGTAGAGAACAGAATGTGGTTGGTCTCATTAGAGATGTCAGCATGATAGCAGCCGACACCTCCCCAAGGGACAATCCAAAATGGTTTACTGTAGCACCAGTAACCAAGTGAAGTTTGATTCATGTCTGCCGAAGCAGAGAATCAGTCACTGGGATGACGTGGTGCAGAGTACTTCAGTAGTAACGTTACGTTCCATGATTTACCCCTGCTGCCCACATACATGCACAAACTAGAAGTCAGAAATCACCTAGCAACTCAATGTGTCGGTTCAAAAATCACCACGGTAACACAGCAATTCCCCGTGACAACCTACCGGGTTGTACTTGTTGACCATTTTGGCTGGCTTGCTGAACTTCATCAGGTTCTCCTTCAGACTTGCAAGGGTTCCTGCAAGATACATAACAACCAGTTACAAAACAATATGAAGTGGAGAAAGAAAGGACCAATCAGTTACTAGTTATGACTAACACTGTAACAGTCCACCAAGGAAACGAAAGGAGGTGAGCCTTTGCCATATTGAGCTGCATAGCCCCCTCCCCCCTCCTCACATACTAGTATGCACGCACCAGCACCATGTCCGCCCGCAGCAAGAGAAGCACTGGATGTACACCCCCTCCCCACGCACACACATAGCCATCTCTGTACCTTCAACCAGGACATGCTTCTCCTGGAAATGGCACAGAAGATGCTGCCATAGTGGTTGCTGCAGACAAGAGGAAAACCAAAGAGACAGAAAGACAGGTCTGGTTAGTTTCATGTCATGAGCAGTTTGGCAGGGAACTCCAGTCAGGATGCAGAATGATTAGTACTGGCGGGCGTGTAACAGCCCTATAGCCCCATAAACTGCATCCTTGTAACACGTTGTAATGTCCGGACATGTCCGAACGATAGCCAACGCGTGATGACACTCTGCCATATCGGGTTGACATATCAGCAGAGGTCCTGTTGGGAATGCCCCCGCAACACGAGATAGAGAGAGAGAGAGAGAGAGAGAGAGAGAGAGTGAGTGAGAGAGAAAAAGAGAGAGTGAGAGAGAGAGAGTGTGTGTGTGTGTGTGTGTGTGTGTGTGTGTGTGTGTGTGTGTGTGTGTGTGTGAGAGAGAGAGAGAGAGAGAGAGGTGATGATAATGACAGAGGTGATTGGTGCACAGCATACCTTTGCCAAGACTTTCGGACTGCCTGTGATGATCACACCGTATCTGCAGCCACAGACAATCGGCACACAAGCACACACACACACACACACACCTTTGACCTTTGACCTTTGACGCCCATCGCCGGAGGCGATGATAGCAATGCTACGGCAGAAGCCATAGCAACTTGTGCTGGGATTGCACCATTCAACAGCTTGCAAGGCTGAAGAATTGACCGTCACTATTCAGCCTGGTCTACACCATACAGCTATTTGAAGTGACTTTTTCTGGCCAGTGAATCCCTATTTTTGGTCTTTTTCTTTTTTCTTTTTTTTTTTTTTTTTTTTCCCACACACACATCACACCACATACTCCGGCATGCACTGGCTGTTGGTAACCACCCAGGAGAATGAAAGAAAAGTCAGGAAGAGTCTGAGAAAGAGAAGAAAGACGTGTGTGACCATAATCGTCGGGAATCGAACCCGCAACCTATCGATTGGAAATCGCTGCACATACCACTGCACCATATGGGACACACACACACACACACACACACACACACACACACACACACACACACACACACACACACACACACAAATTCACGGTTCGCATGAGACTGGGTTAGACTGAGTTTCCGCATCAGTAGGAACGCCACCACCCTCAAGGATCAAGCTGAAGATGCAACTCCTAAAGACAAGTGGCGGCGGTGGCATGCAAAGCTAGGCTGCTAGTCATGAGCAGCATACTATTACAGCTTCACTTCGTAATGATGATAGACACAACGGAAATCAAGAAAGAGAGAACAGGATGTGGTTGGTCTCATTAGAGACGTCAGCATGATAGCAGCCGACACCTCCCCAAGGGACAATCCGAAACGGTTTACTGTAGCACCAGTAACCAAGTGAAGTTTGATTCATGTCTGCCGAAGCAGAGAATCAGTCACTGGGATGACGTGGTGCGGGACAGGACAATATGGCCAAGGAGATAAATTTCTGGCTAACAACAACAACAACAACAACAACAACAACAACAACAACAACAGCAGCAGCAGCAGCAGCAGCAGCAGCAGCAGCAGCAGCAGCAACAATTATGCATTGAAAGTGCGGCTAATTCAGTAATATTCTGGAAATACAGTACTCACTTTGCACGAGTAAGTGCTACGTTCAAACGACGTGGGTCGTTCAAGAACCCAATGCCCTGCGTGACACAAAATAAGACAGCCAAGTAAGAGAAACCCGGATTAGCAACGAATACCAAGCATAGCAACCCCCCTCCGAGCCTCCGCAAAGAGAGAAATCCCAGTGTGTGCTCAGCTGATGCTCATAAGCACACATTGAAGGTACCGGTGCGTGCTCACATGGTACTCACTGGCACACATTCGCCGGATCAATACATGCCCACAAGTTGCTCAATAGCATACGTTCTAAACATCAGTAGATACCACACATGCCATGGTGCTCACTGGTACACATTCCACACATCGATACATGCCCACAAGTTGCTCAACAGCACATATTCTAAACATCAGTAGATGCCATACATACAGTCAGTTTCAAAAAGATTAGCAATCCTGGTGATCGCCCGGGGAGTTTGCCGTCTTACCGTATGAGCGCTCGAGCGCTGCCTGGAAAAACTCACTGTGAACTCGAAGAAATATTCCGCGCGAAAGCATGAAAAATGACAACTCACTCAGGTCGATGTCGGTACAGTCGTGTACATCTGGTTCACAACAAACGAGTTCTTCCTCGTATCGATTATGGAGTCAGAGAGGACATGTCGAAAGTGTAGTAAATGCCGAGGCTGACGAGCGGCATGGGTCCCAATATGTTTTGTGACCAAATAGTTTCTTTGAGCTGCGATGCAATTTACTCTCACCATGTGACGAAAACGACATCGACACAGACTCATACCCAAGGCCATGACTTGGCGAAGCTATCCGTATGACTTCGACAACATTTTGAGAAAAGCAGACGCCTGTGGAAGCTGATATAATAGAAGTCGGCGTTGACTTCTAAATTCAAATAAATTGGCGATCTTGAAATAATTCTCAAAAAGAAATCGATCGATCGATGTGCCGGTGTATTCACGGTGTATGACTTCCGTATTCACTCACACCGTTTCAGTGTTGAGGGTGTGTTCACATGGCGTGAGCCAGTCAAGTGTCAGTCAGTTCGGGAGGAAGCGGGAGCTCCAACAACAACAACCGTGAACAACAACAAGTCTGCTTGATCACCAAAAAACAATGAAAAAAAGTGTGAGTTTGAAGATAGGTTGGGATTTGAACTCACAACTTCATGGTCAGCAGACAGCATCCATAACCACAAGGCCAGAAAGGAAAAGATAAATCGTAGGTTTTGATAGAAAAAGCGATACTGGCTTCCAGGACAAATTGTAAACCATGGGAAAAGGCCGGAAACCTGGCCGAAATTCTAACTCCTTAACGGCTGGTCCAATTGTTCCGAAACCTTCACAGAACAATTTGCCGTGCCCTAACCAGCCCTTTCATGTACTTCGTTGTCCAATTTTCCCTGATCTTCATACTTTTTAAGACCAAAACCTGATTGCTAATCTTTTTGAAACAGACTATAGTGCTCAATGGAACTCAATTCACGCATCAGTGCACGCTCACCTGGTGCTCATTAGCGCGGACACAGGACAGGATGATGTAGTCCTTTTCGCGGCCCTGGAAAGCATCCACACTGGCTACC